AAAATAGATATAATATAATATAATTTAATATGGACTAGCAATTTATAAATATTTGTCGACTCCAAATGCAGGCCACCATGAAAATATGAAATCACTTATTTGATCAAGCTGACACAATGCGTGTGCCGATCGCTTGATTTACGGGACGCGGTAATGTTTTCAATGGGCGTTTAATCAGATCCAACACGGTTTTTGGGACCGAAATAAAATAATACGTATCTCTGCTATAGAAAATTGATATAGAGTATGTAGTACTTTTTTTTTGTCAACTCGTTTTTTTTAATGCGATATTTTTGTCATTGCATGAATCTTAAAAATAGGTTTTCTCAATAAGGTAGGTATACGTATACAGGCTCTTTATCAAAAATCACGGGTGTGACTGTGTCGAAAACTCGATGTTGTTACAACTTGGATGCAATTGTCGTTGTTACTGGCGTTTGAACACATCGAAAAATGTGATACACCCCTGACAATAAACTTGAAAACAGTATATAAATTATTCGATAAAAGCTGGCACTTTAAAACACTAAACCTTTGGTCATAAAAACGAAAATAAGCGTAAACGCTCGACGAACGTACAGAAGAAATATATCCAAGCAAAGACATTTTCTAGTGTCTTTTTAATTCAAGTAGTATAAAATATACAATATACATGCAATAAAAATAATATCATCTTGATAGCAACAGTTTACATACGTCACTGGTAGCATAGTGGTTGTCGCGTCAGACTCATGATCGGTAGACCACGGTTACTACGGTTACGGTTTAGTAACCGTGGGTAGACCAAAGGTCAAATCCTACCTTAGGCTAAACATCAAAAGGGTCTACCCCTACCCTGGACTCAATGGGAAGGCCAATCCACTGGCCGAGATTCATTCACTAACGAATGCGACTTTGGGGGAGCCTTGGTTAAAGCGCGGCAGTCGTCGCATGTGCGACATTTGTATTGATATACATTGATTTTCCCACAATCCAATGCGCTCTTCAAATGAAAATCACAAGTATGAGGTTTGACCTGGGCGCGACTTGCAATGATTACCGCCGGTGACTCTTTCGATACCCTCCAATAACATGAAAATTACTTAATTAAAGTTTGAAAACGTCTCAGTTCGTACTCGTTGTTCTGCGCAACAGTCAAAGTCGCCATCTTTGTTTATATGAGATTCATATATCTCGCACATGCGCAGCGCGACGATTACCGCGCTTTAAGGTCCGCAGGTGCTTGTGTTTGACCGAGCCTGGTTGACGCGAGGATAGCGCATTAAATTGCCATTTGATAGGGAGATGGCCGCACAGCCCTGTCATGTAGTCCCTAACAGGAAATGACTTCTGTGTCAAAATGCACTATGTGTCAAAAGTCTCTTTTTACCTCCATAGACCGTCTACCCAAGCCGAGAGCCTCTACTCTTTGTTCCATTGTACGTCCATTGTATACTGGGGATTTGACACTGTACGCTGGCAGTCATTGATAATAGGGACATTACATTCTGTAAAGAGGCGGCGAAGGTTATTGGCAACGAGAACGGTCCAATATATAGGAGGTGTTGAGGGACGGTTGCGTAGAAAAACAATATTTTGTAATAAATTTTGATAATATATTTTTCTCTACTCCTTGTGTCTATTGTCTGTCGTTTACGAGCCCAGTAAGTAACAGGGAGCTGAATCAAGAAGTACCATACCGCCACGCGTACTGAGGCCAGCAACTAATTTGCGTCATCATTAAAGGTTCGATTCAGAGGCGACCGCACAAAATTTTGCATGGGGAGAGATCTGCTCATACCACCCCTCGCGTCAAAGGCGCGAACTTACTAGGGCGACGCCCCTCTGTGCCGCCGCCACTGACGGTGAAGAACTCTCAAGACATACGCGTTCCTTGGTTCCTTATATTTTAAAATCGAAATTTTAACAGTCTCTAGCGAAGATTGTTTGAGTAAAAATAAACAAAAGAAATCCAAGTGCCCGAGCCTGCATCTACTAGTATAACCAACTAATGGCCTGACAAAGCATAAGAGAGCGGATGCGGGCGAGAAACTAATTCAAAAAGCATGTTAGCGTTCCAGTCAGTAGACAGTGCCGATGTTGCCTTGCCAGATTTCAGGGTGTGCGTATAAGGAAGTTTATCTACGCGACAAGCTGTACTGTTGGTTGGAAAACACTGAAAAGCAGGTAAGCGAAATTAATATGCAACAAAAAATACATTAGGAAAACAAAATATCTAGACATTTTTATTATCGCGCTGATTTTTTCACCGAGTTACGCAGAAATACTACTTCAATTCTTTTCGCGAAGTCCAGTCAGTTGTACATACTTTTTTCAAAAAAACGTTAAAATATGATACAACAGAAACATTAATATATGTGTCGGCAGAGCAGTCATAATTTAGTCTCTGTGTCAATATGTGTTGGGAAACTGTCGAAGTAGCGATGGTCGCCGCGCCACGCCATGTCCGATATAGGACACATAACGACGTACTAGTACACAACACGTGTAAAATACATTGTTTACGTGAAATTCGAACACGTGCTACGGCTGAATGTATATACAGTACACCGTATTACATACATTTAATCACGCCCGCCAACAGTGACTCTCAGCTCGGCAAGAATTTACGGTTCACTTGTATTTGCTATTAGTTTGCCATACTACTCAAGGTAAGATCACTGTCCAACATATCTCAAATATATTATGAGATGTTTTACCAACATTTCAGTCACGCTTAATGTGTATTTGAATGTCGATGGTTGGTCCTGAACAGTGTCGATGGTTTATTTATAGAGCCGTCATTTCAAGTTACAGTTGCGGGTAGTCGCCTCTTCAGATTTAATCGTGCGCGTAACACACTTCTTCGAGGCAAGCTATGCTGTTGATTAGGAAATACTGGTAAGCAGGTAAGCGAAATTGACATGTAACAAACCTCTTGTTCGTTTATGCTACTAGTGCTGCTATAATACTAAAGTTTGTTTTTTCACTACATTTGTAAATATTGGTTACGCGAATGAATGAAGTTTATACATTCAGTACGTCGCTTCGGTTATGTATCACAGTAAAAAATGAATCCCGCTGTTAGCAGTCATAAGGCGTGGGTATAAAGGCCAGACACAGACATACCTCACAAATATTTTTATTTACAATCTGGCTTAGACATATGATCCATTTCTTATGATTTCGTGTTTCATGACAACAGCACCGGGTGCAGCCGTAGGACATTCATTCGCTCAACTTTGGCGTTAATTAACTATTATTATGACTGTGGAATATGTTTGACATCACATACAACTATATGCGGGTAAGGGGACATTTATATGACCTAGGTCACTGTAAATCATCCGACCCGTTGTAAAGTACGCCCTCTTGTGATGGCAAGAGATAAAACATCGTGTATTTCAACTGCAGTAATGTATTCAACGCATGTTAACAAATACGACAATGAATCACGTGACTACACTGCGTCACAGACCCGTCGTCAGAGAGACTGTGAATGCGTCTATTTACTGTAAAATAATTTATTTTAGCTGGAATTAATTTTCACTGAGTAGACTTTTCGGGTGTTTTGTATGGAATTTATTTTCACTGATTTTTGACGACTTGAATGTAAAATATAGGAAAAACAGTATATTCGCTGGATTTTATTTTCACTGAATTATTCCTTCAGCGAAAATAGCGAAAATTAATTCCAAGTGAAAATAAAGTATTCTATAGTACCATGATAATGGCGTTATCGTTCACAGTTTCGACGTATCACTGATGATATCATATGGTACGGTAAACGTCACGACACAGCATGTGCGGTCAAACAATACACAAAGAAAATAACAGAACAGAAGTGACTCGCATGGCACAATGACACATACTCACAGTGAGGCCCGTTGAAAGTTCCGCCCAATCGCATCTGCGTAAATGCGCATCCAGTGGCACGCTTGGGTGTCGTGGCATTTCCGTAAAATTGCGATTTCTTTGTATATTTGACACGCATAATTATTGATACTAGCCCATGACGTCACTCGTATGATTTATTATTGGTAGATTTATTATGCGTTCGAGTAGTTTAGTCGTCTAGAAATATTAATTTATATAATTTAATTTACACCAAACAACAGAACTGTCTCTATCGCACATATACAGGCGCCATGTTCCGAAATATACGACACTCTGAACAATATAACGTAAAAAAGATCTGTGCATTGAGCAATACACACAAACACTGGGCGAATTTAATTGAATATTAAACTCTACCAGCGATATCGAAATAATAATTGCGTGCAAAGAAATTATACCATTTTTTTTGGTTATTTCGAAAGGGCTAACGTTTGATCTAATGAAACAAACACGCTAAAAGTCAAAAAATACTAGTGTGCAAGTAAATACACCCCTTATGGATATATCTATAACAATATATTTGCTGATTTTTTTATCTATAAATCTGAAAATTAACCGTGTGACACAATCTGTGAATTCGACGTAGGTAGACGTTCTAAATCTTTCGGTTTCAGTCACCGGTGTACTTTTCTTACCCACCCCTTCTTAAGACAAGATATGTTTGTAAACGCATGTTTTGATAGATAGCGGTAATTTTTAGTTATTTTAAAACATTACCTTATAGTACCAACATGATATGTGCTGATTAGAGAATACTTTTGGTTTAAACATTTGAAAATTCCCTCAATCTGTTTAAAATCCGATGTATATGTAAACGTTCCCACCACTTTAGTCGCCGGTGTGCATCGGCATGTACCACTCTTACCCATGCCATATGACACGATTAACCAAAAAACGTGGGATTAGATATAAAGCAGCCACACCTGAACAAATTGGTTGGTATATACAGACATGAATTGTAATAGGTCAGTTGGTGTTAAAGGTTATACACACCGGTCGACATTTAAAACAAACGGAACCACTAACGGCAGGGGAATTTAATCATAATGATATTACAATACGTCACCATAATGTTGACTCATCTATATTTTTTTCAGAGTTATACCACCGCCACCACAGCCACGATGATTAATTATATCCTGGAAAGTCTCTTTGATAACTTTAACACCCCGGGTAGTATTATTTTACTGGTGTCAGTATTCATTCTATCCTATGGACTGATTGGTTTACGCAAACCACCTGGGTTTCCACCCGGACCAATGGGATATCCGTTTGTTGGCAATATGTTAGGTATGTTATCAATATCATGTTGAATATATATTCTCAAATAATTATTCCCCGAATTATTCGTATATTTTATATCCATACTGCAAATTGTGACGCTGTCGAATCACCATGCGCACGTTTAATGGTTTAATTATTGGTCGTACTAAATTTATTATATAGACACCACATATGATATTATATCCCGCCTTGAAAGTAAAATCATCTCACGTATTCAAAATCGGCAGCCAAATTTTTCATTACAGCGTGCCGTAATTTTGCGGGGTGTTTTACGGGGTATTTTCATCCTACCATATAATGAAATGCGAATTCTAAATATGGAATGATTACTCGCGTATACGTTCTCTAATAATAAAATCAAACATGGCTTCCATCAGGGTTTGACCGGACTTCGCACATCGATACTTCCATTGTACTGCCTTCGTACATACTTTGAGGTATCCTCGTAATAACCTCATAACATTTATGAATATAAAAATATATTCTTGTGACAGCTCGCGGCGGTTTAAAAGGCGGGTATACTGATCTCAATGCATTACAAATGTTGGTTCGGAAAAGTGCGCTTCACGTACGATCTATCGTATTTTTTTATTATATTATGAAATTTAATGTAATTTGATAATTCGTGAAGAAATAATACTGACACGTGTGTCGGAGTTGGTGAGTTTAATCTTGCATGATATTGTATGTCTGTTAGATTTGGAGGAAGAACCACATCTAACCCTGGCTGAGTATGGTAAGAAATATGGAGATGTTTTTACAATCAAGATTGGCAGTCGGGCAGTGATTATACTCAACTCCCTAGAGGCTATTAAAGAAGCATTAGTGAAGAAACAGAATGATTTTGCTGGAAGACCATACTTTTATTCGCGTAAGTCGTTCAGATATCGACGTAATTTAAAAAAAAATTAAAAATGTAACATGAAAGTAAAGGGTAAATAACGTACAAATTTAAATACGTGATTTGAAATCGTGATAACGGCAAGCGCCTCGCTACTCTGGACAGACGTGTTCCCATCACGCCACCACCGCCGTCCAAAAATGAAAAAAAAGTCAAAATAGTATAAACTTTACCAAACTTCACTTGTTTGGCTGTCAGCAGTCGGGAATATGTATTTTGACTAGGCACGCATAAATAATATTCTTGACAATTTCACAGTTTCAGGTCTGATGGCAGAGGAATGCCAAAATATTGTCTTCGGTAACTTCACAGCAAAGTGGCAGTTACAACGTAACATCGGACATCAGGCCATTAGGTGAGTAGATAAATGATTGCCTCATATTTATTCATTCGATTGCGACTCGTCAGTGAACTCATTAACCTCCCAATTCGAATGCTCCTAGCGCCTACAAATTTAGCTAAAGTTTGCCTGGTTAACAATATTTCCGAATATGACAATGTGTTTTCATATTCAACCAACAAATCTTAATTTTAAGACTAGCCGGTCTCTCGAAAGCTCATGGTTTGATAGTTTTCAAGTTCACAAATGGAGACCTAGTGAAAAAAAGGACCTCATGTGCAAGTTTACAGATTCATACGAATACAGGAATAAATTCTCAACAAGTGAACGCAAATGTTTTCTATTGGAGTGCCAGTATTTTGTTAAAAATATACATTCGAAACTCAAATATGTTGACAATCAGAAAGTCTGTAAATATATAATACCAACCCAGAAATAGAAAAATGAATCGTTTTCATTTCTTATTACAGAATCAGTATTCTTTCTAAATAATCACTTGATATTTAGTATTTTATGTAAATCACGTACATTTTCTTCACAGAAATTACGCGAGTGGCAAGAAGCTGGAAGCTTTGCTGAGATGTAATGCCTTTCCAAGTTTTCAGAGAGCTGTGGCTAAAATGAAAAAGAGACCATTCTACCCGAGACCATTACTGCATCTATTAGTAGGAAATATAATTGTTTCCATGTGCTTTGGAAAAAAGTAATTCATCACCCTTTGTAACGATTATATTCACGTATCTGATATAGCTTAATGCAGCAATACAAATATTTGTTTGCTAAGAGTCGGTAACAATGTCTTCTGATCGTCTTGCAGGATCGCAAAACCGCGGAAAATATCAGTAATATAATGTCTGTTTAATCATAGGTACGAACTTGACGACCCAGAATTCATTAACTGTTTGAGGGTATTGAGTACAGCAAATGCATCTTTTGGAAGTGGTCTAGTTGCTGATTTTATTCCCGTATTTCGACATATACCAACATTCGGACTGACGAGAATAAAGAAGTCTATGCAAAACTGGTTAGATTTAATACAGCACAAGATAGATGAACATAAGAAGACATTTGATGAAGGTAAACGTGAATTGATTGATTGACCAATTAACTGACTGACTGAAAGACCGACTAACAGACGGACTGCCTGAAAATGTGCATAGTTATGAGCAACATACACATATCAATTTTTTTGTTTTTTTTAAATATTTATTTGTCTCTGACATTGCACTTACCAATGCGATATGGATACTGGAATATAATCATAATGATTGTCACTAAATACAATACGCAGCGTCTCAAATAACTGTTACATATCATCGAATATATTCGTATTATCTAATAATATAAACAGGTAATGAAGACGCGAAGAGCCTTGTTGGCGAAATCTTATCTATTCAACGTAAAGCTAGGTTGTCCAGGGACCAAGAAACAGAAAAACAGCTTACCGATGTCAATTTACGTCAAACGGTAGCTGATATGTTTGGAGGTATGGTTTGCTTAACTACTGTTGAAAATTGCGTGGTCTTGTTTGTAACACAGTTTATTCAGATCACGTGTTAAACAGTACTATGGTCGTATGAAAACAATGTGTCTCTCTAAGGGAAGAATGTTTGTTTACAACTGATCTAAATCATTAATCATGTTAATGTAGTTCCATATCAGTCAATAACTACTTCACGAAATCTGTCACATACATATATTGCATACAACAAATGTACACCTTGACAATTTATGCAATCTTTTATTAATTGTTAACTATTTAATCACCACCGAGTCATCTTTATTTCAGCTGGTCTCGACACCGTGGTCAACACATTGGAATGGGCCATTGCGTACCTCGCTTGTTACCCGGATGTACAAGCAAAAGTGCGTCGAGAAATTGATGACGTTATTCGTGATCGACGTCTTCCATTGTTATCGGATAAGGGTAAATTACCATACTGTGAAGCTGTGATTAACGAGGTTATGCGCATAAGAACAGTTTCACCGTTTGCAATACCCCATGCTACTACCGTGGATACGTCTGTTGGCAAGTGTTATATTATACATGTCTCTGTAAATCGTTTTTTTTACTTCGGTTCTTTTTCTTCAGATACGTTATTCGCCGAATGTGCGAGCAAAACATTTTGAAGTATTTACATATAGCGGACACAGATTTAGTTTCTAAACGACGTCCGAATAGTGAATGACAAATACTAAATATCATTGATTAATTTATTTACATGTAGGTGGGTACACAATACCGAAAGATACGTGGGTCTGGTGTAATTTATGGAATCTACATATGAGTGAAAAATATTGGGTGGAACCGGAAGAGTTTCGTCCAGGTAATATTGTTAAATGTTATTTGTTATATTGTCTTTCTTTAACTAAATATTTTATTTCTGTTTTTCCTTCTTATTAATGTAATATCCCCTTATATTTAATCTTAAAGTTCACCTGGAACGCTTGCCACTTCGCTGTCCAAAATATATATGGTATATGATTAATATCATAGTTGATATATCTAGGCACAAAATAAATATTTTATTTAAGCAAAATTAGTTCAAAATTGCTGTCTACTATCGGCCATTTACTGCATTTCACAACGAGGCTCTACAATTGCCCTCATTTGCATTCTTCTTGTGACGTCTTCAAGGGGACATTGCTGGATGCCGTAGACATTGCAGTTGGTCTGTGCACCGTCCCTCAACACCTTGAGGGACGGTGGTCTGTGACACGGTTCTGAAATACGATCCAGGTGTCAATTTATTGTCTATTGATTATTAAATAATCTAAAATAAACTTCCATTATTTTTTTTAACAAATCTTGAACGCAACTATACCTGTGTGGTAATAATAATTATCGTTGTCGGTCATCGGTACCTTATTTCGACCTCAGACTAGTAATTGTATATTCATAAACTATTCAAAAACTATTTGAGGTAAACACTAAGACATTCAGTTACTTATAGCTCACCTAATTCTTGGTCGATTCTTAAAATTCGTACACAGCTGCAAAGGACAAAATGTCCAGAACGCATCCCCCGTTGTTTTAAAAATGTTCGGATCCGTTTTACGAAGAAATACACAATTTCCGAAGAAGCGCGAAGTGTACAGAATATCCGGTGTTCGGTAAACTTCGACGGTGTCTATTTTGCGGGTCTGTTGTATTCCTAGTCTGAGTTTCGACGGATTCAATGATCTGATACGTGAGTGCCTGTATTCATTGGTCAATTGTTTGACCCTGTGTCACTTTCAATGCGTAAGATCGCAGATTTCTTTCGTGAAATTTGATTTCTTATTTGATGTAACGGAAGACGGCTACTCGTTTTCCGAGTGTAAAATTTGTTCTTAAATTGGATATTCATTTGTTGTGGTTGCTTGCGTTGATATCGTCTGAATTTTGTAACACAGTTCACGGTAGTGTCATGAATTTGTTTTTGCGTATCTGTTAACCGACTTAATTAGCTGATTATTAGCTGAATTGCTGTGTTATGTCTGTCATCGTTTAGGCCTATTTGAAGTTTTGGACGGAACTTGGCTCAGTGATTTGGAACTAATTACCAGATAACCGCCGCTATTTAGACTATTAATTCTGACAGTTTATATTCATAGTTATTAGTGTAGTGAACGATTAATCAAAAGATATGACGTATTCAGTACTTAGTGTGATTGGCCTTATGATTGAAGGTTACGCCCTAGAGTCTTTTTACTGTTTTGTAATTGGTTAGAGTTTTGAAAATGAATAAAGTTGTTCTAGTTGGTCTTGGGGAGTACAGCAGAACAGACGCAGTCCTGGAGAGCTTTGGGGCGAGTGTTGACGCAGTCTAAGAGAGTCTTGGGTCAGCCTTGCAATAGTCTTGGGGATTTTTCCCCAGGGCACTGTGTCTTATA